GCTTCACATTAAAAATCTTCAGCCATAAGCCGAAGTGTGGAGGGATGCGTAGAAAGGCCTCGCACACGACGATGAATGTCGAGATGTTGAGGAAGGAATTGGGGGATAGATCATGAAAATCGATCCCATAGTAATACATAATGCCGCGAACGAATGGGTGGAGGGGAAACCCTAGCCCGCGGACAAAGTGAGGGAGGAATACAACCCTCTCGTGGGGTTCCAGAGTAGGGACGATTTGTCCCGTCGTTGGGAGACAATGGCTGATCTTCTTGGCCAGATACCCGGCCTCCCGAAGTTTCTTGATATCCTTCTCCCGGATGGTAGAGGCCATCCACTTTCCTCCTGCTCCAGATCCGGACATTTTTGGAGGGCCTTTTTGGGCGGAGAAGGCGAATGCTTGGGCGCTGGAGCTCGAGCGAGTGAGAATGGATGAGCAGAGGAAGAAGAAGGCATGGGTGAAAAAGGGGAGTCCTTATCTCCTTATAAAGGCAGCCGAGATCCTGCGCCTCCCCACTTACCCTGGAAACTCGCTTATCCCCCAAGCGCCGTGATTAATGGCGCGGTTGGGTTACCCACACCCGTATTGATGAGTATCCCGTGATAAGGGGACACGATCTCTGCTTCGACAAGACGTGCCTATGAAACCGCCTCGCAATATGTGCAATAGCAGGTTGAGAAAAACGGTTCGAATAATGACCGGGCCGCGACGTGATGTCACGCTATGAAAAAGTTGTCAGCAGATTAGACTTGTGGAATATTGTGCTCTCTACGGTGGTATGTGGAACTTGTTTTGCAGAGCCGGACACGATTCTTGTGTTCAAGATCTTCTTTGGAGTATGCGGAGAAGGAACCCGCCTTGCAATGCCGAAGACAATCTGCGCGCCGGACTCATCGTCATTGAAGCCTGGTTCAAGGGCTACTGAGGGAGTCCTGGATTAGGGCGTCCTCGGACAGCCGGACTATATGCTTATGCCAGACTATTGGACTATGAAGATACAAGATTGAAGACTTCGTCCCGTGTCCGGGTGGGACTCTCCTTTGCGTGGAAGGCAAGCTTGGCAATTCGGATATGTAGATTTCCTTCTCTGTAACCGACTCTGTGTAACCCTACCCCCTCCGATGTCTATATAAACCGGAGGGTTTAGTCCGTAGGACGACAACAATCATAATCATAGGCTAGCTTCTAGGGTTTAGCCTCTATGATCTTGTGGTAGATCAACTCTTGTAATACTCATATCATCAAGATCAATCAAGCAGGAAGTAGGGTATTACCTCCATCAAGAGGGCCCGAAATTGGGTAAACATCATGTCCCCCGCCTCCTGTTACCATTAACCTTAGACGCATAGTTCGGGACCCCCTACCCGAGATCCGCCGGTTTTGACACCGACAGGTAGTACCGCGGGTACTACCGCCTCGACTCGGGTCTCATTTTTTCGTGTCTGGTTCAGTGGTTGTCCCATTGGCATACTACCGCTGACCCCATTTTGACCCAGTCAGGCAAGTGGCAGTAGCAGCAGTAATAGGAGCGGTAGTACCACGCCTACCACCGCTGCCACTTCCGCTCACGGCTCTGCTCTCTGAGACCTCCCATGTTTTCTCAGCGGTAGTAGAGCGTAGTGGTGGGCAGCAGTACCACCTGTAGGCGGTAGTACCGCTAGGGCGGTACTGCCTCTCCCCCCCCCCTTGTCCTGCTCTACTCTCTTAGTGCACAGTGCTGCAATCCGAGCAGTAGTGCCGCTGGGGCGAGCGGTAGTACTACTCCGGTGGCACTACCAGTTCGAGGTCTCGCACCAATGGACTTCACTTCATGCACTACCACCCGAGCAGTAGTACCGCTCTCCTAAGCGGCAGTACTTCTCTCCTAAGCGGCAGTACTTCTCTCCTAAGCGGCAGTACCGCTCGGTGCGGGCTGAAACTATGTAAGGGTTGGATTTGTTCCTCCACTATATAAAGGGGGTCTTCTTCCCCAAGAAGACGACCTCTTCCTCCCCAAACTCCATTGTTGCTCGAAAAGCTTATTTTTGCCCGATCTCGCTCCTTAGCCAATCAAACTTGTTGATTTTCTAGGGAGTGGTTGAGAAGGCCCTGATCTACACTTCCACCAAGAGAAATTTGATTCCCCCACTAATCCCTTGCGGATTTTATTACTCTTGGGTGTTTGAGCACCCTAGACAGCTGAGGTCACCTCGGAGCCACATTCCATTGTGGTGAAGCTTAGTGGTGGTGTCGGGAGCCTCCAATTCGGTTGTGGAGATAGGCCCAACCTTGTTTGTATAGGTCCGGTTGCCGCCTTCAAGGGCATCACTAGTGGAATCATGGCATCTCGCATTATGTGAGGGCGTGAGGAGAAGGTGGCCCTAGTGGCTTCTTGGGGAGCATTGTACCTCCACACTGCTCCAACGGAAACGTACTTCCTCTCAAAGGGAAGGAACTTCGGTAACACATCCTCGTCTCCACCGGCTCCACTTGTTGTTATCTCTTACCTTTACTTTGTGCAAGCTTTACTTGTGGTGTATATCTTGCTTGCTTGTGTTGTTGTTGTCGCTAGCATCATATAAGTTGTTCACCTAGTTGCATATCTAGACAACCATTTGTTGCTAAAACCTAATTTGTTAAGAAAAGCTAAAAATTGGTAGTTGCCTATTCACCCCCCCCCCCAGTCAACCATATCGATTCTTTCAGTGGGATGATAAAAACCGTACTCAGGAACGACGAACGACATGGGCTGACATGAAGCAAATCACGAGGGAAATTTTTTTGCCTGCTTACTACACTTGCCGGCTTCATAGTAGACTATATCATCTAATGTAAGGTACAAAATCAGTTGATGAGAACTACAAAAAGATGCAAGTTTTGATGATGCATACAGTTTCACGTGAGCCCGCGGAGGCGACCATGGTTCGTTTCTTTGAGGGGCTAGAAGAAAAGATTCATTACCGTGTTGATTTAATGCAATATAAAGATATTCATGAGTTACTTCATCAAGCGAAGCATGCTGAAAATTGGGTATTGGAGAAGCAAAGCTTCAGAGACTCATCCAACTTACAATAGTGGGCGACGTTGTTCTTCTCCTATTGATGATGGGTTTAGTGCTAAGCTGGCTACTTCTTATAAGTCGGTAAGCATTGAACAAACCAAAGTGGCTGCTGCACCAAAGGAGATTTCTCAACTTTCATCTAATGCGACGTCATCTCATCACCGTAATATTATTTGCCATAAGTGTGGAGCACGTGGACACATGAAGCGTTCCAATCAAAGAAGGGTCTTGCTTATTGATGCAGAATATATTTCAGAATCTGAAGGTGAGACACCTAGGTTAGAGGATGAAACTAAAAGATATGATGGTGATACCTTGCTATGTATCCTCAACTTGATATGTAGAGTTTGCTAGCACATAAGGTCCAGTGAAATGACAAGATCATTGTCGAACTAGGACAACGAAGAAGTATTTTTTTAAGACTGCATGTACCATCGAGGGAGAAGTGTGCAAACTAATAATTGATGGTGGCAGTGCTAGTAACATGATTAGCAATGATGTGGTGGAGTCTTTTTCTTTGACAACATGAGAGCATCCAAAACCGTACAATATGAATGGATAAATGATGTGGGCAAAGTGAAGGTAACTTACAAGGGTGGAGCTTCATTTTTCTATTGATGGCTATGTTGATAAAATGGAATAGGGCGTTCTACCATTGCACGTCTGTCACCTTATTTTAGGGCGTCCATGGCAGCACGATGTTAACGCTCTTCATCATGGGTGAACAAATAGGTACACTCTTATGCATAAAGGGTAGGTCTATGCTATTCTTCCCAAGGATGCAAAAGAAATAAAGTGTACACTGCCGTTTGCTTTGACCGGTCTTCACCAACAACATTGTCAACAACATCGCCTCCGAGGTAGCCACATCAGCATGTGTGATGCTATTGTTCATGTGCGGTGATCTGATCCAATCTTTGATTATGGTTACTGTTGCATGTGTGATGCTATTGTTCATGCTATTTAGTGCATCTAGCATGTTGACTTATACATGCTAATTATTGCTTTAATCATGATTTATATTCTGGAATTAATCATAAAATTGCCTAACTTTCGAACTTTAGTTCATATATTTTTAAAACTTCTCTATTTTGTTCTGTACTGGTATGAATCTCATTTTCAACGTTTGAGAATGCGTTGCACGTGCAAGCTTACTACCCAGTATACAAGTGACTAAAGGAGAGAGGATATAATAATAGTCTACACGTTTGATGGATAAATATGAAACTGGATTAAAGATCTTCAACAACTTAGACCAAATGTATTACCACATCCTAACTAGTGCAAAATAAAATGGTCAAATAAAGACGGTGTGTGGAATGCTCTAGCTATAAGCTGTATTCGAAAGAAATTTCAAATGGTATAATTTTTCAGCCACATGATTATGTATTATTGCTTTAATTAATGGTCAAAGTTAAATATCAAAAAAGTGTGGACCTTATATTTTACTCCCCCCGTGCCGTAATATAAGAGCGTTTTCTTACAATAGAGGGAGTACAACGGAGGGAGTACGATTTCTCGTAAGTTGAGGAATCTTCTTACCAAACAGAGACATTACTAAGCAAAAATAGTTACCCAGTCAAAGCTCGAGTCAAGAGAACATGTCTCTCTTCTCTAAAAAGCCCAGAAAAAGAGACAACAAAACTCCCATAGGTGAATCTGGAACTTGAATAGAGAAACACTGCTGCATTTGACATTCATAAATTAACATAGAATTATTTGTTTTGGTCTCAAAGCTATTAGTAGTAGTAGTAGTTGATGGCCTATTTGGTATCACCTTCCCATAATTCTGCAAACTAAAAACCAGAAGAATATGTCGATGCAGTTCACACAAGTATCGACATCATTACAGTAGAGGTATAGTGATTGCTCACGTTCAACAGGGATTTGTTTCCATTTCAATACGTAGATACCAATTAAATACTGTAGGTATTGAGGCCAAACCACGACCGTACAGACTTGTCATAATTCAGTCTGGACCCTGGTTGCATCCATCTGTGATCCACAAATATACTTTGAGTGCTTCTGTGCTAGGAGTTTGATTATCTGCTCTTCCAAATCTTCATCACTGTTGCGCCTTCGGACAGTATTCCTTGCTCCGTTTGTGACAATAATGACTTGCTCTTTGTATGTTGCAAGCAAATTGGCCACAACAATGTTCATCTTGTACTTGTTCAGAGCCATATCTGCTTTCTGGACAAGAATATCTGAATTTGTCTCCAGCTGCAATTATTTTTCATTGTTAGAGCAAATAATTGAAATAATTTGAACAAGCCTAGTAATTTTTAGGTATAAAATGTGTTCACTCTTCCATTGCATAAAAAATCTAACCTTGAAAGATACACAAAATGCCAAGGGAGCCCATTGGTCCCGCAATACAGCAAGCATTTTTGGAACCTGACTGAGCCTCATCTCTGGAGGGCCTCCAGCTGACTGAATCTTATGTTTTGCCTGCACAACAATCAAATTCCCTGTTTAAGGCATTTGCAACAAAGTTTATTCTTGTATAATACTCCCTCTGTAACTAAATATAAGATGTTTTTGCAGTTCAATCCCCTCTGTAACTAATATAAGACGTTTTTGCAGTTCAAAATTACGGAGGCATTATTAGGTTTCTTTGTGCAGCGTTTAACAATCGAATTCTCTCACACGAAAAAAATAGTATGGCAAGTGCTTAAACCATACCATGCTATCCCAAGGAACATAAAAGTCTGAGACTGCTGCAGCAAGATAGAACATCCCGCGTTGCCCGACTGTGCTCACAGATGTAGCCACCATCCTCAGTAACTGCACCCTAATGTTGTGTCACGCTTTCGAATTTTTGCTTGTATTGGTATGTGATATAGCACTTATCAATCCAAGATACAAAACCTGAAGATATTCAAATATTGTGGTGAATTGGAGTTTCAGCAGAGAGCCACCTCCATAGCCTGCAGGAAATTCACTTGTCAGTATCCTGCTGTAAATCTAGTGTGCCACCTTTGATAAGCAGTGTATAATCTTATGCTCCACCTTGCAATAGTCCCAAATTGATTCCTTTACGGCTGTCTGATGGGACTCGGCCACTGAGCACAAAACAAAACATAATAGTAAGTGACTAGTCTAGGGAAATACAGTAGATGTTAGTTTTCCTATCTGCACTAGGCATGTATATTACCAACCTTGAACTTTTGATTCTTCATTGACGTCTAAGAACTTGAGGAATGAATCATCAGGCAGGAACCTACAGTAAGGCTGACAACTCCCTCTGCAAGGCATGTACGTAGCAGCAAACAGCATATTATTCACAGTAAAAAGTATCTAGACACAGAACAATTCATCATTCAACTAGAAGAGGGTAAAAACCAGTTCAGTTCAGATCAGTTGCTTCAGTGGAAGACAGACAATTATTACTAGAGAACTTAATAGCCAGGCAGCCTACCGTCGGTGGAGAAAGATAACAGCATAACCAGCCTTCAAGAAATACCTATATTATCAAAAGAAAAACAGGTTAATACATATACATCAAACTTGTTAGACATGAGGAACTTTCATTGTTCCAGTCATGTGCTTGCCCAAACGTAGTAAGTTGCATGTTCAAGCGGACATTGGTTTATCTGCAAGACTGCAACTGTGCATTGTAGTTCCAGGTAAAGTACGGACGGTAAAGGTTCCATAGTAAAAGAGGCGTGGTCAGTCAGGAAAGCAGAGCTAAGACCGATAAGGAGTTACAGTAAAAATAACTTAGAAATACTTCATTTAATAACCGAAATCCTTGTTCAAAACGGTGATTGAAATCCAATGAACAGAGCAGAAATTTGAAGCGCGACGTCAACTGGGCCTTAGCGCACATGGACATTCTCATGGAACGAACATACCCATATGGATGCGGCACACGTTTAATCTAAGAATAAATGATACCCCTCTCATCCGAATTAATTGAGGCATATCTCTATACGGAGCAGTATGTTTTTTTTGCGGAGGGGAGGTTCCGTTGTAGTTGAGTTGCTGTTTGGCCTTTGTCATCCTCACACAAGTAGGTAGCACAAACGAAAAGCGACGAGCGGGACAAGAAGAGAAGGGCGGTTAATTTACTCGGTGGAGGCGGCGCCGCGGTGGCCGGAGCTGAAGTTGTCGATGTACCGGACGCACCGCTGCTCCAGCGGCACCGTCGTCCCGCCCGACGTGACGCACACGGTAGGCCGCCTGTCGACCCCGCCCGCTGCACCAGCACACAAGCAGAGGAGCGTCCCCGAGTCACACGCACGTCGGGTGTTCGACGGAAATACTCGCATCGATCACGCACAAGACTGGCAACGCACAGCTGGGTTGATTAACTACCTGAGATGATGGAGTTGCGGGCGTTGAACTCTTGCAGCTTTGTGCGGACGGCGTCGGCGTCGCGCAGCGGCGGCGCGGTCTCGAAGAAGGTTTCTGGGTCCTCCGCCCCAACCATCGTGGGAGATTTCCGCGGGCTGTGATGAGTTGACGACGAAGTGGACAGAAGGGGGCAGAATTTAAAAGGAGAGTGTTGGCTGATTTACTCTACAACGCTGGGCTGGTTCGGCAAAAATCAGAGCAGGCGCGCGCCAATCCAAATCGGGCTCCATAATGGCTGCACTAAACCGCTCGCGGTTACGCGCTGCGTGCCCAGGACAATGGAGCAGGGGCCCGTCTGCCGTGTCAACCGTCGTGTCTGTGCACGTTAGAACATCTACAGCCGGCCTTAACAAATCTTGTTTCCTAAATATCCGTGGGTCTTGGCATGTCTGCAGAGTGGCCAGTCATCTCTTAAATGTCCTTTTATACAACCAGATACATCATTAGCGAATTCTCATAGCTGTACGACTACATGTACAAGTCCTTGTTCCCGTCCATATCCGTGTTCGATGGCCATGAGACCGGCGAAGTGAAGATCCGATCGCCTGACAAGGTAGAGTAGAACATGTGACACAGACTGACCCACATGAGACACAAGGCGCCGCCGTCTCTCATACCCTATCTTTTCTCGTCCGAGCATGTGGCCTCGACGTCACCGGTCGAGGTGAGTGAGGGAGTCCTGGATTAGGGGGTATCCGGATAGCCGAACTATCACCTTTGGCCGGACTCCTGGACTATGAAGATACAAGATTGAAGACTTCGTCCCGTGTCCGGATGAGACTTTCCTTGGATGGAAGGCAAACTTGGCGATACGGATATGTAGATCTCCTACCATTGTAACCGACTCTGTGTAACCCTAACCCTCTTCGGTGCCTATATAAACCGGAGGGTTTTAGTCCGTAGGACGAACAACAATCATACCATAGGCTAGCTTCTAGGGTTTAGCCTCTCTGATCTCGTGGTAGATTTATATCGTGTCCCTTGTCATCGAGAGGGCCCGAACCTGGGTAAAAACATCGTGTCCCTTGTCTCCTGTTACCATCCGCCTAGACGCACAGTTCGGGACCCCCTACCCGAGATCCGCCGGTTTTGACACCGACATTGGTGCTTTCATTGAGAGTTCCTCTGTGTCGTCATCTTTAGGCCCGATGGCTCCTCCGATCATCAACAACGATGCGGTTCAGGGTGAGACTTTTCTCCCCGGACAGATCTTCGTATTCGACGGCTTTGCACTGCGGGCCAATTCGCTTGGCCATCTGGAGCAGATTGAAAGCTACGCCCCTGGCCATCAGGTCAGATTTAGAAGTTTGAACTATACGGGTGACGTCCGCGGAGACTTGATCTTCGACGGGTTCGAGCCACAGCCGAGCGCGCCGCACTGTCACGATGGGCATGATCTAGCTCTGCCGCCGAACAGTGACCTGGGGGCCGCACCAGTGCCCGCTCCGACCCTTAGTCCGGAGCCGATTGTGCCGATCGAGGATGGGTGGCTGGACTCCGCCTCGGGGGCTGCGATCTCTACGGCGATTGAGCCGAACACCAACCCTGTCCTTTGCGAAGCTCGTGACTCCAAGGTGCCGGACTCCGAACCTTCTGCGCCCCTGCCAATCGAATCCGATTGGGCGCCGATCATGGAGTTCACCACCGCGGACATCTTTCAGCACTCGCCCTTTGGCGACATCCTGAATTCACTAAAGTCTCTCTCTTTATCAGGAGAGCCCTGGCCAAACTATGGTCAGCAAGGTTGGGATGCGGACGACGAAGAAATTCGACTCCCACCCACCACCCACTTCGTAGCCACTGTCGAAAGTTTAAACGACGTGCTCGACTTCGACTCCAAAGACATCGACGGTATGGACGATGATGTAGGAGACAAACATGAACCAACACCTATAGGGCACTGGACAGCCACCTCATCTCACGATGTATACATGGTGGACACACCTAAAGGAAGCGACGACGAGGAACAACGGGACGTCACGAGGGATCATTCCCTCGAAAAGCAGTCAAAACAGCGACGTAAGCGCCGCTCAAAGTCCCGCCCCGACAAAGACAACAGCCATACAGACCTAGCCATAGAGCAGGGTGAACCGGTGGACGATGAACATGCTATCGAGCAACCGTCCGAACGGGACAATCTGGATAAACAACCCGTCCCCGACGAAGATAATAGTCCGGACGATCTCACGCCGGACAAGTTGCTGGAGTAGAAGAACCTCCACAAAAGGCTCGTCGCCACTGCACGTAGCTTGAAAAAGTAGAAGCAGAAGCTCAAAACAGCAGAAGATGCGCTCAAAATCAGATGGAGCAAAGTACTCAACACCACAGACAAATACGGCGATAGTCGCTGAACAAAGAGCTACCCGAAGCGAAAACTACTGCCTGAATTTGACGAGGAGGCCGTAGAGCCCCCGCAATCAAAGAACAAGGAGACCACCCGATCGGATAGACGACCCCATGGCAAACATAGAGCGGAAAACGGCACCGCACACAAGCCGGCACGCGATCCACACACAGATTCACATAAAAAAGATGGCCCAGTTAGATCTATCTACGGGCCAAGAAAGCAAGCTCTAGTAAGCAATGCAACACATCAAGTATTCGAATATTACGGTACACCTAAATATAGGGGTGCCGCACACACCCTATGTTTCACCGGTGAGGTTCTGGATTATGAATTTCCAGCGGGATTCAAGCCCGTAAACATAGAGGCATACGACGGAACAACAGACCCTGGAGTCTGGATCGAGGATTACATCCTCCACATACACATGGCTAGAGGAGATGACCTCCACACCATAAAATACTTACCCCTCAAGCTCAAAGGGCCAGCCCGACATTGGCTCAAAAGCCTCCCCGAAAACACCATTGGAAGTTGGGAAGAGCTCGAGGATGCTTTTCGGGCAAATTTTCAAGGGACCTATGTCCGACCTCCGGATGCAGACGATTTAAGTCACATAACTCAACAACCTGGAGAGTCAGCCCAAAAATTCTAGAACAGATTCCTTACTAAAAATAACCAAATAGTCGACTGTCCGGATGCCGAAGCCTAGCAGCTTTCAAACACAACATCCGAGACGAATGGCTCACCAGACACCTCGGCCAAGAAAAGCCAAGAACAATGGCCGCATTAACAAGCCTCATGACCCACTTTTGCGCGGGAGAGGATAGCTAGCTGGCAAGATGCAGTACCAGCGACCCAAGTACATCCGAAGTCAGGGATGGAAACGGGAAACCGCGATGCAGCAAGGACCAGCACCGGACAAAGGGAAACATCCCGAAGAGCACGGTAGTCAACACCAGATTCAAAAGCTCATGGCAGAATCATAAAAAACTGCCCCTTAAGGATAACAGAGACGAGCTATCTAACTTAAACAAAATCTTGGACAAGATATGCCAAATCCACAGTACTCCCGGGAAGCCTACAAACCATACTCACAGAGATTGTTGGGTCTTCAAGCAGTCCGGCAAACTCAACGCCGAACACAAGGGGCTTGACACACCAAGCGAGGACGATGACGAACCCCACAAGCAGAGCACCGGAAAACAAAAGAATTTCCCACAAGAAGTCAAAATAGTAAACTCACTTTACGTGACAAAAGGGAAAAACAGAATGGCGCCCATAGAGATACGTGCCATACGGCCTATCCCAGAGGAGTCCCGCCACTGGTTGTTAAAACCAATCACCTTCGACCATCAGGATTACTCCAGAAGTATCCGGAATGCAGGATGGACTACCTTGATATTAGATCCGATAATCGACGGACTCCAATTTACACAAGTCCTAATGGATGGTGGCGGTGATCTAAACCTGCTATATTAGGACACAATCCGTAAAATGGGGATAGACCCAATCAAAATTCGCCATAGCAACACTTCCTTTCAAGGGGTAATGCCAGGCCCATATGCCCATTGTACGGGCTCTCTACTGCTAGAAGTTGTGTTCGGCTCACCCGGCAACTTCCGCCGCGAAAAGTTAACCTTCCACCTCGCCCCATTCACAAGTAGCTACCAAGCACTACTGGGACGTGAAGCTTTTGCCCGCTTTAACGCAATACCGCATTATGCATCCCTTACACTCAAAATGCCCAGTCCGCGAGGCATCATCTCCTTAAAGGGAAATACCGAGTGTTCCTCGAGCGTGGAAGATTCTGTGACTGCCTTGACAGCCACACACTAAACCGGCTTCACCAATCAAAGCACCTAAACAGGTCGTTCAGACCCTGGACACGGCTAGACGAGTCTGGCGTAAACATACAAGGGCTTACTAGCCGCATACCCCTGTACAAGGGGCTCCGCGCATGTACAACAAGAGACAATAAAGCTCAATTTTATTCATTTTTTGAATCGTACTTTGTTTATTTAACATAACGTACATTTTCGCACGATCTTTTTCAACTAAGTTCCTCTTTTTTACAGATGAACACCGTGCTACACCTGTCCAAGATACAGCACAACAGAGATACAGGCGCAGACATGCAGTAGGGACCTGTGACAAGGATTCTTTTCAAATTAAGACCATGCGTAAACATTTTTTACTGTCTCTTGTTGATACACATCCCCTAGTTTCTTGCTATAACCAAGGAGGAGGCTGGCGTTTTGGCAGGGGCCACATCAGAATTTTGTGCGTACCTGGACACCAGGGGCTTATTACCAAGGGCGTTGTTCGGCCCGTTTTCATAAAGACCGAATACCTTAGGAAGTGTTCGGCGTCTCGAGTTAGGCCTTATATGCATCAGCTCCGAATCATGTCTTTGGTCAAATGTTGGGTTTGCCCGGCTCCTGTGTTTTGTTGCGTTACGTTCCGCTCTATCGGCTAAGTCGGCACCAAGAGAACTACTGCGATTGTGCCCCGGTTCGGCCAGGCGAGCACCTCAGTAGAGAAAGCCGAAAACTGACTGTCATGATACAGCGT